TCGGCGAGCCAGGGTTCCCAATTCCAAAAGTGAATTCAGGACGTCTTTCTGGTAGTCAGTCGGTGACCCGAATCCATGGACACTCAAATTCCGGAAAGCAACACCAGCTGCCCGGTCAGGGTATCGCTCGGGGTCACGAGATCTGATGGCGAGAAGCATCTTCATCCAGTCTTTGGGCTTGAAATTGGGGCTATGGGGGTTGAGCGTCGATTCCGGATCGTCGACTTGAAAGGGATTATCAAGTGTGCCTTTGGTAGAAAATCGAGTCGATTGGCGTGTGAGCTGGCGAGCAAGGTCGCCCACCCGGGCTTCTATCTTCTCCTCCCTTCCTTGCAAAGTTTCGTCATCTTCGCTTCTCTGCTCCGACTTCTCGGTGTATGCGCTCCCGGGGGGTCCATGGATTGCGTTGTCCAAGTCTGGGCTGCCCTGCAGTTGTGGCAGGTTATGGCTGACCACAGCCTGTGCCCGGGAGGAGTTGGGATTTGTCGTGGCGACGAACGACGACATGGTGGCTTGTGTTCGGAATTACGCTGCTGTTGTCATCCACCAAGAGCAAGCACCGACCGTTGAGCCCTGCGGTGCTCGAGGGACAAACCACACAGTAGATGTTGATAATAAATTCGAAACTGAGTCAGTCCACCTAGTTGAGTGAGATAACCTTCAATTCTTAACGAAGATGGGGACAGACTAGGGGGCCAGCAGGTAGTGGAGGTTATATAACTACAAGTAACTCCCTAGCTGAGGGTAAGACGGGGGTCCACAATGCTTGAGGCAATAGGTCTAGTCTTCGGTAAACGAAAGTTCCAGGGACCCGCTCGCGGAGTTCCCGATCTCCATTGTTGCAATGACAGACAGAAGATTCGCAATGGTTTTAGCCATCTGATCTGCCTAGCGTGCACAGGGAACCTCCGGGGACCCGAATCAGATTGTGTCGGCGACCCCCTATCATATCCGCCAGACTAGAGGTAACGGTTTCCACCCGAAAGTTAGAAGCCTATTTCTGGTTAATAATTTCTGCTGGTTTGGGTCTTGAAGTCGTGCTGAGACTCCGGATTCCGAACCAACCAGCATACTGCGGACCCAATTTCGGGGAACGGGAGGTCCCTGGGCCTCGCGGTCGGGCGAATTCACTCTCCTGGGCTTCCATGGATGACTCAGGGCGATCTTCGCTTATCGCTGATACACGTGGAATGAGCCGGATCACGGTTGTACTCGCACCCGTGAAAACTGAAGTCTCGGATTGTTGCTGGTGTTTCGTCTCTTTAGTGGAGACCGGCCAGCCATAAGACCGCGACTCGACGCTGTTGGCGTCTGCTCCATTCTTGCTGTCAGCTGAAGTGTTCATCTTGCATTCGACCGATCGCACCAGCATTCGGTAAATCGATAGATCAGACGTGATTGTCACGTTCCCTTTTCCCTTCATGCTCGGGTCGAGTGTACGGGGTGGTCTGGCCACACAGAAAGGAGAGGATGGAGAGGATCGGCGGCGAGAAAAACGCAATACTATTGGTATTGTTACCCCCCAAATACCGTTATTTGTGACAGTCTGCAGCGAACTTCCGGCATCCGGGCGCGCCAAGACGGATTATTTTGGTTTAGCTGTTGTTCATACTTAATTCCCATTGGATGACCGTCCCAAGAGATCAATGTGTATTATTATATAATCAATATCTGTACCAGCACAAAACACCCTGTGACACCAAGTGGGCATTCTCTCCTCGAGATCCGCCACACGTTCATCAGCCCTTCTCGGATAGGGCGAATGGGCCCCTTCCATGGGCCTGATATCGGGTTCAAGACTTTCCGAGCAGAAAGTTGTGCGTGTATCAGATTGGTTTGAAGGCGGGACCCCTAACTTTCAAACAATCATCTTGTCAATAAAACAAAACCAAAAAAAGAAAAAGCGTTTTTGTGCTACTGTGGAGGCAAAATGATCACCTCAATCTAACATCCTTCGTCCAGGGTCCAGACTGCGTATCTCAGCTTAGACAACGGGAATAGTCCTCTTCGATTGCTTGGTGATCTGAAGAGTCATTCCTTAAAGGGGCTCCCACTCAACGCAATTTTCCCCGCTGTCTTCCCTTATCAACCCGAGATCCCAGGCTAAGCTAACCCCCTGCTCCACTGTCCCTGGTGGATTTCTATCATGTCCAAGGCCGACAATGAATGGGCCATCCAATACCAGCAGGGGCATGGACTCTTTCATCCCAAGTAATCCCACATCTAGCCAACAAGACTTTTATCCTTTAGATTCAAGTAAGGAAGATGGCAGAAAGAGCACGCGGCGAAAGGTGGGGGTCCAACATATTCAACTAAGACTGCCATCACACTAATAAAGGTATAACTAGGCTTGTGATACCTGTCAGCGCAGGAAAGTAAAATGCGATCTCTCCAACAAACCCAAGTGCTCGCAATGCGAGAAGATGGGGATCGCTTGTACCAGGAATCTGCAGAGATACCAGGCAAACTTACGAAGGTCCGGCTCATCACTCTACAAAGAATTGATGAAACCGAATAGGGGCTGACTCGCTCGGTAAAGGCAGGCGATGATCAATCATCTGGAAGGAAGTCTTGAGCGCATGGAGTCTCGTCTCCAGGGCCTTGGTTTCACCGTGGGCGAAAATGATACCATAATTGGTCCTTCGTCGTCGGAGTTAGTTGGTGATATTTCACCATTGAGGTTATCATCCAGTCCGACGGATCGTAGCCCGGTGGCTGAGGATGCCGATGATGCAGATTGGGGTAACATCTACACGAGCCCGCCCCCAGGGTCGACCCATCCCACAGCAAGCAGATCGCCAAGCCCTTATATACCAAATATGTTTGGGCAACCAACTCAGCCACAAGCGGCAATACCATGCTTTAACGTTCCGAGATATCTTGGGGGTATACTGAACTCAGGATGTAAGCTGAACCGAGGACTTTCTTTCATACACTCCAAGTCTAATGTCATTTCAGGCTTTTCGATGATCTCGCGAGAGGGGCTAGAATGGATAGCAGAGAAGACTGGCGGCGAATCCCTTGATCATTTAACACGTCTTGTCTTAACAGAGGAGCGTGATGGTTTCATGGCTGATTATCCACTTCATTGCATATCTCCCAGGAGAGTATTCTGCCCTCTCCCGCCCCAAGAGCATATCGTACGTCTTGTGGAAAGGTATCTGGGGGACTTCAATGTCACAATCCCTTTATTCAGGCGGTCGGACCTTATCCTTCTCTTTGAAAAAGCACATCTTGATATGCGCTGTCAGAGTCCAGGTCAATGGGCTATTATGAATGCGGTCCTAGCAGTTGCCTACATGCTTCCGGATAATGGGGTTTCCAAGCAGCCAGATCATCAGAAAAGCTGGCTCCTTCTGAAGAATGCTCTGGAGGCTGTCAACGAGCTTTATCTGGGTCCACCGGATCTGCGGGGTCTTCAGGCTCTTTTAGTGATGGTATGCTCCTAGTCTTCGATATCCTCGGAGAGCTAACGTTGATAGGTTGTTCTCTTTATGGCGGCATCGGCTGCACGCCCTTGCAACTTTCTGATCTCCGTCGCTATCCATATTAGCGACCAGTTAGGTTTGGGAACAACCGAAGGCATCTCGATATTCACCGATGAAGAGAAACAGGATCGGCAGACGGTCTTTTGGCTTGCTTACTGTCTCGATAGAGAGTATGCCCTTATACCTTCCTGCCTTCCTACCGTACGCCCCAGCTGACATGGCCAGGATTTCCTTTCGATTTGGTGAACCTCCGGTGCAAAATGACGAAGCGATCAGCGCAGCTCTGCCAAAAGACACACCGGGTTTTCTCGTCTACTCCTTACCAACAAACGACCAGGCAGGAAGCTTCAGCGTCTTTGCATCAGCCTGCAAACTTGCACAGATCAGGGGCGAAATCTACCAACGCCTCTACTCCGCTTCAGCTGCGGATAGGCCGTTCCATCAGATCCTCGCCTCGGTCGGAGATCTGGATGGGAAACTACAAGCGTGGAAAGATAGCCTGCCATCTGAATTCCAGCCCGAATCACCAACACACTTCCATTTCCGCCAGACCCCAATGTCCATCGTCCTCCTACACATGCACAACACATACCACAACTGCATGATCGCCATTCATTCCTTAATTGCCGCACGCGGCATAAATTCCGCTCAGGATCTATCCGACCATCCTGGATATACCATTAACCCCGATTCTCTATCCAATCCTAGAGTTCTGCTATCAGCGTCCCTGACCTCTAAAGCTGCGCGTGCTTCGATCGGCTTGATGAAGTATCTCCCGAAGGATGACATCTCCCTTGGGTACGTTCAACTTGATTTGTCGACTGACATTTTTCACTAATATTCACATACTAGGTTAACGATGTATTTCCCCACCGTGGCATTAAAAACACTAGCCTCGAGTATCGTTCGCAATCCCCGCGATACTGGCCAGATCTACAATATGAGGATTCTCGATCAGGCAGAGGCTTTTCTATCTTCGACGTCTGCAGGCACTACTAGCGAAGGGATGAAGCGGTTGGTGAAGAATTGTGCCGAGTTTCGCTCGCTCGCTGAGAGGGCAATGAAGGAATGTGTCTGAGGGTGCTCGGGGAGATCCTCGGCAGTACTATTCTGCTATCTTGCCCCGGTCGCATCTAATTGCTAGTGTACTGTTAATGATACCCGGTTGAACTCGGAGATTTAATAGAACTGCACGGGCGACATATAGAGAGGAATGACAGGCAATGAAACACATACAGCCTGGAATCTGGAATGTCAGGCGGGAACAAAGAAATTCTTGAATCCTGCACGTAAAGGCATTGCTGGTTACAATTATATTTCTATATAACTACAAAGTAGGTAAAATCATAGTCCTAGGGAAATCAAAGAAGGGGGAAAAAAAATAAATAAATAAATAAATAAAAACAGGAAAAGCAAAGAAAAGTCAAAAATTATTAAATGAGTGACAGTGAGATCGACCACCAATCCAAATAGTGTCTGACCAACACGTAGAGGGAAGGAAGAAAAAAAGTATGACAAGAGTGGGATTCGAACCCACGCCATCTTACGATGATCAGGAAGCTGTGAAGCTGGGTATTAAGGTGGACCTTAACCTGACGCCTTGGACCAACTCGGCCATCTTGCCTTGAGATGTTGAATGGTCTCTATTTAGAGCTATATGAAGGAGTTGAAAGTATAACTTCCCGAGTCATTTGTTTCCGCTGATGCCAAAGCAGTTCCCGCCAGTAGTAACCTCTCGACAACCTCAGTATTAGTCTCCTTCGTAATCACAATGAACAAGAGAATATTGGGTTGGCTCATTTATTATTTAATGATTAGCTTAGGTCATGCCGTTTACCTATACTGACTAATTCTCGATGATGCCGCTTTCATATGGAATCCAGTATGATGATAATATAAAGCTCGAAATATATATTTCTATGGGTAACCTCATACAATTGAAGTCATGCTAAATGCGCGATTTCGGCATAATACCCTATAATGTAGTTAGCGAGTAGAACAATTTTGATGGGGTATCTCAGACGAAGTTCAAACACATTGACATCCTTAAAGATGACTTCACAAACTCCTACCACACCCTGCATGTGTTCATCCACTGATATACATTATCGGTTGATCAGGCGTATTGACCGTACCACGCGATACCAAGTTGGCCCAATCAGGACATCGCAGCATGCCCGGAACCAGACTAGCGGGGTAATATATACAACACAGGAGGAACAATAATACAGCAGGTAAGCACAGCACATGTGCAAACACCACAACAATATACAGCAGTCAAAGATAATACATGCTGAGTATCCCCTGTGCATAACATGCAATGTTTCCTACTCATCTACCATTCTGCTGCAGCAACCCTGCCCCCTCCCACGGTCGCAACTGCCACGAACCCCAATTATCTACCTAACAAATATGTAACAACTACTTTCTATTCCTCCTCTGCTCCGCTGGCTGACTCGGATCCGATTTAATCCGAGCATCCGCAGAAGTATGTTCCTACTTCCTCGCCCTCATGAGCCTCACTGGTGGGTCCACGCTGGACGGAAATAGGCGACTGCACGGATCGGGTATCTGCCGCGTCGGGATGGCGCGCTTTCTTGCGGCGCAGGATATAGACTCCCTGTGACTCGGGTGGCTGGATAAGGTTTGTTACGTTGGAGGAGTGGCCATAATGTAGTCAGACACTTGATATATATTGCAGTAACCTCCGGACGAAGAACAACAAACACTCCCTGCCATGAGCATAGGGTCTATTAGCCCCTCACTACACGACCATTCTCCATCTCAATTACCCGGTCTGCACCCTTCACCATATCAGGCCGGTGCGATACATGGAGGACTGTATATCGACCAAACACATCATCGATAACCTTCTGCATCAGCGCGTCAGTGACAGCATCCGTCCCACTTGTTGCTTCGTCGAGAATCAATATGCCGCCACAATTGCAACCATCATAGTCGCGATTCCATTTCCGCACCAGGGCGACTGCTAATGCAAACAGTCTTTGCTCGCCTTGGGATAAGGTGGTCGATGTCAATTCCGCATCCAGTCCACCACGAGATGTGGTCAGAGAAAGCAGGTTAGTCTTCTCTAATGCTGCGATCAAAACCGTATCTGTAGAGCGACTAGTCGGGTCCAGATTGAAGCGGATAGATCCAGGAAGTAGGAAAGTGTCCTGGGGAATAGCGATGATATGGGTTCGAAGCACATCTAGTGGAATGGTGGAGATATCTATCCAGTCAATTGTGATCGTGCCGCTTTGGGATTCAAGGAGCCGGAGAAGGGCCGAGACCAGTGTGCTCTTCCCGCTTGGTTCAAGGTCAGTGGAAGGTATGAGTCGTATGTTTTCGGTACTCACCTGCCAGTCCGTCCACATACAACCACTTTCTCTCCAGGATGTATGATTAAATTCACATCGTCTAACGCACGCGTAACGCCACTGTTGAGTCAATTAGTAAATGCTTCTATCATTGGTCGGAGGGTACTCACTCATATGAGGCAGAAAGAGAGGTGATCTCAATCTTCCCGTCAACTGGCCAAGTCGATGAAGGGATCACTGGTTTTGGGGGTTGATGTTCAGCGGGTGTTTTCATCTCAAAAGATCTTGTCCGTGCTATTGCGCCAAGGGATGTTTCCAGGCCAGTCCAGCTAGTCACAACTTCCTGAAGGGTCTGGCTGAATGCCATGATTGCAGTCAAGGAGACTCCCAGCTTTCCCGGATCGGTCGAGCCCCGTAAAGATGTTGCCAGGGCAATTAGTATGACAGCCAAGCAAGCAACAAGAAGGTCGAGAACAACATTGAGCCATCGCTGGATACAATATAGAAGGTAGTATGGTTTTTGAGAAGCGTCAAGCCGGCGCAAGCACTCTGCTACAAAGGATCGTTGCCATCCAAGGCCGCGAATTGTAGAAATTCCGTCAAGAGTCTCCACGAACATTGTATACAATGGGCTTTTGGCTTCCAGATCGAGGAACCGGAGCTGTCTGGAGGTCCGCAAATAGACTTTCTGCGCGCAGTATAATACCAGTAAGCATGGGATAATTGTCAGTGCCATATAGCTGGACCCCAGCGAAATCAAGGCAACTTGAGCGAAGCACTGTGCAATACCTGCGAATAAATTAGTGTTTGGTCGTAGTAGTATGTGGTGAACCTACTCAGGACTGTGCCAAAAGCCATTGTGGGCAGTACAGCGTCGACAAGGGTCATGTCCTGGCTGAACCTGTTGAGGATGACGCCAGAATCAACCTCGGCGAAGAAATGCATCGGTGCATTTATTACGGTTCGCACAAGGATTCTGTGTAGTCCCAATCCTGACGTGATGACGATTTTGATCATGATTTGCCTGACTCTACGGTTAGCCTAGCATACAAGGCACGTCAAAAGCCTACCATATCATTAGCCCTTGTGATCCTGAGGCAGCTACGGCAAGTAGGACGTAGACACCAATGAACTGGGCGGCCTTCTTTCCATGGTCATCCGTAAACAACTCCAACCATATCTCTACAGACTCATTAGCCGAGTCGAAAGGCCGCTCAGAATTGTACTTACGAGGGAACACAGAGGAGAATGTGTGCACAATAATAATTGTGCAGGCAACCAGCGTGTGGCGCCATCCGATAGCCTTCAGGTAATAGGTGTAGACTGCAGTATCACCCATACGGCGGGATATATCGGCTATGTCATCGACAGTAAGGGTTTCAACTTTTTTTGTGGATGAATCCTCTCCGCTGTTAGGGAGGGAAGTTGGGGTCTCTGGAATAGCGTCCGTAGTGTCAGGATATACATGCGAGGCGAAGCCTAAGCTCCGCATGGGGCCTTGCTTTTCGATCTGCCCATTAGAATTTAATATGACAACGTTATCTGCGAAGCGGAGATGCTGATCTAAATGAAGTTTCAGTTATGGCTGCAAAAACTTTTCATCGGACTATACTGACCCAAATGAGTTGCCATCATTACAGCCATACCTATTCGCCTGCATACTCCGTTATCGCCAAATAAAGCCTCTGCGACATACCGTGCGGTCTTGTTGTCAACGGCACTTAACGCATCGTCCAGCACGAGAAGTACTTTTCTAGAGTAGATAGCCCGAGCCAGTGCCTATAATCATGTTAGTAACGTGACATTGACGACTGCGGTGACATACCAGACGCTGCTTCTGTCCTCCACTTAGCTTGAGAGCCCCGCTACCGACCACGGACTGATCACCCCCCGGTATTCGAGAGATGTCCTCTTGTAATGCACATGTCCTCAGTACCTCATTATACCAGGTATAATCTATCTCAGAATATCCACAGATGTTGTTGCGGATAGAGGTGTTCTGGAGCCAGGGAACTTGACTGCAGTAAGCCGCGTCTGGCCGCGTTCGTGTAACAGTTCCTTGTTCACATGGTATCTCCCCTACGGCCGCTTTTAACAGAGTCGACTTCCCAGATCCGACCGGGCCAGTAATCATTGTTACTGTACCCGTCTTGATGGCTAGATTGATGCCCTCAAGAGAAAACGCGGACCCCGTGGCTGGACGGATATATGCATCCGTCACGGTAAGAGCAACATGGTCGGACGCCTTCGGCGCCAATACCTTTAATTCTACCGCCGATCCATTTCCAGTAGAGGTATCTGGCTCAGTGCCATGATCCTCCTCAGTTGGTGAGTAATCCATGGGTGAAGTGAGGAATTTGTGAATGCGATCGAAAGCACCCAAAGCGGCAGTTATCGCCGGGATGGATGCCAGTAACTGTAGCGCAGGGCTCGTGATAAGGCTAATGATTGCAAGGGATGTAAACGCTTGTACGGTCGACAGTGTCTCCGAATGATCAATTTTGGCGCGAATAACGAAAGCCGCAAACGTGACGAGAGAGGCACACATCTGAGGCAAACTCGCTTTATACTGTCAGGTCACTTGGTTTGACACCGGCATAGAGTGGCATACTTACCAACCACGTTCAGCCACACGATCAGCCATCGAAAGTCCCTGGATAAGTCTAGTTCACGCTCTCGTTGCTTCTGAAGAGAGTTGGCCAGCACTTCAGATAGACCGAGCATCTTGACACTCTTCATCGATTTTAGCGCCGTGGAGATTATGCTGACTCGCCGTTGGATTGCACCAACCCAGACTTTCTGCCTGGCGGGCATAAACGTAGCCATATACATTTGGATTGATGTGCACACTATGGTGGTTTAGTAGAGAAATAGGTTAGGTGAAGGAAGACCTACCCAGAATCACCAGAATCGGGGCTACACAAACAGCAGCGAGTTGCCGCTCTAGCAGCCAGATACCGATAGCGATCTCCACCACGCGGGCCCACAGCTCGCTCGCCTGCTCCAGAGACCGCGCGATCATGTCGATGTCAGTACTCATTAGCGTAACCGCAGCCGTTTCATCGCGGGTTCCATCTGGAAGAATCATAGTGTGGTCATAGATCAAGGCAACAGTTGCGCCGCGGAACATCGTGATCATACGAAATAATTGATGTTTGTAATGCACCGTTGATATCTATTTCCGTCAGCTCTGTCTGAAAAGTTCAGTAAGTGATACGTCTGCATACTGCAATTCCGCCATAAATGAGCGCCGCGGCCCCAATCAATCCGTAACCTTCGTTTCTGGTTAGCTGCGTATCTGGCA